CCACTAGCCACATCCCCAGCCCATTTTATTTTTTGAGACAGGGTTTCACTAAGTTGCTGAGGCTGGCTTTGAATTTGCGATCCTCCTGCCTCAGCCTCCCAAGCTGCTGAGATTACAGGCGTGTATCACTGTGCCCATCTTATAGTCTACTTTTTTTAAAAAAATATTTTTAAGTTGTAGATGGATACAATACCTTTATCTATTTATCTTTATGTGGTGCTGAGGATGGAACCCAGGACCTCACACATGTTAGATGAGCACTCTACTGCTGAGCCACAACCCCAGCCCTGTCGTCTACTTTTAACTTAGCAATTATTTAGAACATGTCTCATTACTGATTATCTTTCTCAGACTTTGTCACTGGGAATTGAACTCAAAGGTACTCTACTAATGAGCTACATCCCCAGGTTATTTTATTTATTTATATATATATATATATATATATATATATATATAAAATCTATTTAGTTGTAGATGGACACAGTATCTTTTTAAAATTTACTTATTTTTGTGTGGTGTTGAAAATCAAATCCCTGCCTCACATGTGCTAAGCAAGCACTCTACCACTGAGCTACAACCCTAACACCTCCCCCCCGCCCAGTTGTTTTTTTTGAGACAGAGTCTTGCTGTTTCCTAGGCTGGACTTGAATTTGTGATCCTCTCATCTCAGACTCCCACGTTGCTGGGATTATAGGAGTGAGCCACCAGGACCAGCCTGCTTTTTTTTTCCTATGTTGCCCAGATTGGCCTTGAACACTTGGGTTTAAGTAACCCTCCCTCCAGTTTCAGCCTTCTGAGTGTGAGGACTATAGGCACGCTCCACCATGCTCTGTCACTGAAACAATTTCAGTGAAGGCTTGTATCCTTTTTTCTTCTTTTTTTAAAAAAACTTATTTTTTAGGTGTAGATGGACACAACACAATGCCTTTACTTTTATGTGGTGCTGAGGCTCGAACCTGGGCCCCACCAGTGCTAGGTGAGCGCTCCACCGCTGAGCCACAATCGCAGCCCCGTTGTACCCTGTCTTCTTGGTGACCATAATTTATTTAACTAAGTCTTCAACTGTTGGGTATTTTATTGATTGCATTTTCAAAAAATTACAAACTACTTATAATGAATATTTGTTTATTAGTACTGGGAAATTGAACCCAGGGGTGCTTAACCACCGAGCCACATTCCCCAGCCCTTTTTAAATTTTATTTAGACAGGGTCTCACTAAGTTGCTTAGGGTCTCCTTAAGTTGCTGAGACTGGCTTTGAATTCATGATCCTCCTGCCTCAGCCTCCAGAGCGCTGTGATTGCAGGCATGTACCACTATGCCCTGCTCTAATGAATGTTATTTGTCTAACAGTTTTTGAGCTTGCATGTTCAGAGCCACCAGTACTGAGGACATAGTCGTCAATGTGACGGACACAGGTCTTGCCTTCAGAGATGGAAGTTTAACAACAATTATTCCCATACATACAAAAGTAATAGTTAACAACCGTGGAAATTGCAACAAAGGAGCAGGAGGTTTGGCGGGACTCCTCCTGAACGTGGAGCGACAGTTCTCCTCTCCTCTGATCACTTCTGCTCGCTGTGATCCAGGCACTGACTTGCTTTCTATTCTTTAAACAGGTCAAATCCGTTCTTGTTTAATGCCCTTCCTCCCACTTTCCTTTGATTGGCACCTTCTTCCTCTTTCTTGTCTTCCGGGTCTCGGTTCAATGTCACCTCACTCCCATTTGAACTGGTTACTCTACCACGGAACTCGGGTTCTTTCCTTCCCCACCCGCTGCACTCTCCTTTTAGACATTTTACTTTTCGCTGTGTTTTCCCACAACCTGGGTATGAGCTCTATGATTGTGTCTGTCTTCGGTTTCCTAGCTCCTGGCACACACGGGTGTCACATGAGAAAATGAGAGGGCAGAGCTATTACTTGAGCTCAGTCTTCATGACCCCAAACTTGAGCCTTCTCTTATTCATTCTGCTCCCAGGACAGCAGTTACCCCCAGGGTCAGATATGGTTTCTTTAGCCTCTCTAGGAGTGCCATTGGGCAAGTCCTTTCCTGGCCCTCAGCCTCAGTTTACCCATCTGTTCTAAGACGGAATTGATGCTCTGACACTGGTTCCAGTCAACAAGGAACAGCAGCAGGTGCTTCTTCCAGCAGGTGGCGCCATTGGCTCTCCTCATCCTTTTCCTGTTCTGGCCCAGGTGGGCTGGATCTCTTGATGTGAACGTGGAGTCTTCTCCTCAGAACAGAGTCTCTACCATCACCAAATGCCAGGGTGGTGTTTCTTTTTTTCATACACAAAAAATTTTCATTTCTTAGTATTTTATTTCAAAAACGTTTTGTTTGAGAATAGATTTAGACTTACAGAGAAGTTGTGACAATAGCAGAGTTCTCCCCCACACTCCACACCCAGATTCCCCTATTATTAACATCTGATATGGTACACTTGTCACAGTGATGAGCCAATACTGACACATTTTTATAAGAATTCCAGACTTGGGGCTGGGGTTCTAGCTCAGTAGTGGAGCGCTTGCCTAGCAAGTGTGAGGCACTGGGTTTGATCCTCAGTACTACATAAAAAAGTAAATAAATAAAATAAAGGTATTGTGTCCATCTACAACTTAAAAAAATTCCAGACTATATTCAGACTTCCTTGCTAACTCGCATACTTTCTTTGCCTCAGTATACCATGTTACATTCCCTCATTATGTTTTCTTAGGTTCCTCTAGGCTTTGATAACTCCTCCAACTTTCCTTGTTTTTAATGACCAGGTCAGTTTTCAGATGTAACACCAATGTGTCTTGGGCTCATGGTCACTTAAGATTCCAAGCTAAAAGTTATAGCTCTTTGTTCTCTGGGAACTTAGGAACAATATTTCTCTAGCAGAAATTGGCACTTTTAACTCAAACCCTTGGAGAGATCTTCAGAAATTGTCTTCTCAGAATACTTTCCTGTGTGCCTGCTATGGGCTGGCCCTGTGCTTGGTGCTAGGGATAGAGCAGAGTTAAGAAAGGATCCTCTCTGGGCTGACAATACAGTTCTTTCGTCCAAGATGGAGAACAGATGTACAAGGAAGGTAGAGGGCAAGACTCCACCCTCCTGTTATACCCAAGGACCCATCCAAGGAGGGAAAGGGGTGACAGGTCCCTAGGACCTAAGGGATCCTCTGAAGAACCTGGCCCCAGAGCCAGAGGCTTTGGAATGAGAGGAAGGTTAGGGGATTTCTCATGGATGTCTTCCCAGCTCCTGAAATCCTGCCCCTGTGTGGAGCTTAGAGTCACATTTCTTTCCTTGAGAAAGAGGCTTCTGTAGGTCTTCAGGTTGCCATTGTCTTCTGGTTTAACTCAACAACTAAGTTTTTTCTGTGTTTATCTGCTTCAAGAGAGATCCCATCCAGTCCTAAGAGTATCTTTGGGAGACAAGAATCTTTCATCACCTCACTTCACCTGTGAAGAAACTGGGGTTTGGGACCCACTTAGCAAATAATGGGTGTAGCTGAGATTTGAATCCAGGTCTTTCTGTCTCCTAATTTTCATTTGACCCTCATCAGCTATACCCTGTGGCTTTTGAGCCTTCAAGCATGTTTGAAACTTCCTTCTCTTGATCCATTGAGTTCTGCTCCCCTCTGCTTACAGACCTAGAAGGGACAAAAGGAAGGGGTTTCTTATCCTGCGCTTGGAGGAGAGGCCCCTGCTCAGGCCCAAGTCACCCCTTCTTGGGAAACCTGGGATGGGATAATTTGAAACAGTGGTTCTCTGGCTTTGGAAGCAGAGAAAATAAACCCAGGGCTGGGATGAGGGTGATGTGGGTATGTTGCCCACCTTCACCTCTCAGCAACTGTGGGGGCAAATTGCCTTTAGCCTATGAGCCTCAGTTTCTTTTCAGTGAAAAGAAGACCTATTGCTGTGACTGAGGGATGTAAAGGTGTTTGTCGGACAAAAGCCCTATGAAAGGATAACAGAGGTGGTTGTCGTTTCCAGTGTCTCACAAGGATGTCACTTTGCACACAAGCCCAGGCGAAGAAAGAACTCGTGTTCAAAAGTGTCAAAACCACGTTTAGGACCAAGGCCAGGCTGAATCCCCAGGTTATCCCAGGCCCTTTGTTGGCTCCCTCTCTGTGAACACTAGGCTTGGAGCAGGTAGGAGAACCCAATATCCTCTAGGATGGGACACCAAGCACCTCAAGGGCAGGGAGTAGCATGTGCTTCATCCAATGCTCCAGCTCCTGGCACTACAGGTGCCACAGGATACATGCAGATTAGAGGGCCATGGGAGTATGCGCATGGAGAAATGCAGGGCCCAAGCAGGTCCAGAGTTTATATCCTGACCCCAGGTTTCCCCAGCCCCCCACTTTCTCACTCCCCATCCTTCCTTTTTCACAGCAGTCATGACACTGGAATTACCAAAAAGGCAAACTGGACTTTATTATAAAGTTGGCTACAAAGTCACCACAGCACCACGAGGTGGCCGTCTGGGCAGGCCCAGGCAGTCTGGCGGCCGGGTGATCCCGCACCAGGTACACGCGTTCGTGCAAGCACACGTGTGTCGGCAGGTCTGCCTTCCTCCATCGGAAAGGAACGTAGCGTCTCTTCGCACCCCCCACCCCAGGCGCGGGGCGCAAAAGTCACAGGAAGGGCCGCCAGGGCGGCGGAGTCCATCGGAATTGAAATCCCGTTACTGGTGTGTAGAGAATTCTACGTGGGTGTCAAGAGCCCCTCAGGGCACAGGCTGGCCCAGGTGGGCCCTGCCTTTCCCCCACGAAGGCCCAGGGGTGGCTTGGCCCCTAGGAGTGGAGAACTGGCCCAGGCCCATGGGGCAGCGCGGGGGGGAAGTGAGACTCCCCCATTCTCCGCTTGAAATCGCATTCAAGGAAACTCACTACGAGTGAATACAGATTGAAATGGAAACTGGGATCGCTCGAAGTCTCTTGAGTTTAAAAAGAAGCTCCCCTCCCTTGCCCTCCCACCACCCCCCCAAATCTCTCAGGGCCTGGGAAATCAGATATATCCCCCTCTGGCCCCCAGAATCCCCCCAACAGTCCCGGGGGGGTGGAGAGCGGCTCCACGTCTTGATGACAATATGCCATACTTGACGACGTTAAGTCACAGACTTATTCAAAACGTTGGTTCCCCTCCACTTCCATCTGTAGAGAGAGAGAGGGAGGGAGGGAGAGAGTCAGTCAGGCCTATTAGAAAAGAGCATCCTAGGGTTGAGGGTGTGGCACAGATAGGATGGGTGTCAAATATGTTGGCTCAATGACCGGATCATCTAAGCTCAGCAGACAAGAGGAAATTTGTCCAGATGGCGTGAAACTATGGTTGTAGTTTCGGAAATGATGGGGCCATAGCAGGGAACTAACCGTGATAGAGCCAGGGGCTCAGCCTCATCCTCTTTCTTTCCTCAATTTCTACAAACTGTTGTTCGGCACCCCCTTTAGGGGATAGAACTCAATCAACAGAACTCGAATCAATTTTCAGCCATGTTTATGTGGCCTAAGGACAGTTTCTTTACTCTGGGACATTGATTGTCTTCACTTGTAAAATGGGGTGGCGTCTCCAAGTTAGGAAGCATACACCTTCCCAAAGGATTCTACAGCCATCAATCCCCAGCCCCTGCCTGCCACGACATTTACCCTCACTGCTACCTTTAGCAAAATTAATAGAGAGGGGAACAGATTCCCCCAAGCCTACCCTGAATCTCATTGGAAGGACAAGGACATATTCTTGATATTTTGGGCTGCACTCACCTTCATGGAAGCTGTCTTGAGCTTGGCTCTGGAGTTGATGCAACTCATCAGTAAACCCATCGTAGGGGAATGCTGAGACACCTGTCTCAAAGGCGGTTTCATAGGTGGCCAGGTCCTCCAGGAAGCTGTGGTCTTCTGGGGACAGGTTGTTGCAAGGCGATGGGGCCCCTCCTGGGCCCTCTGCCTCAGGATCCCCTGAATCCCAATCCCCATTGGGGTCTGGAGTAGAGAGATCCATGAAGATGTCTTCCACGGGCGTCTCTTCCAGGAATATGTTATCAGGGTCAGCCAGAAAGTCCAGCTCCTGGCATTTCCAGGGTTTCAGGTCCAGGCTGAGCACAGGGGGGCCAGCCCCCGACAGGGACAGGTTGGAGTCCAGGGGCTCCAGTCCTCCAAGTGGCTCCAATCCCCCAGTGCCAGCCTCAGCTGAGAAGGGCCTGTCCATGCCCTGAGCCAACTGGCTGATCTGCTGGATGAGACGGTCAATCTCATTTTGCTCCTTCTCAGAGTAGTGGAAGAAACTCTGCTTGACTGGAGAGGCCTCCGGTGTGAGCAGGCCTTCAGGCACCAGGGGGACGTCCACAGACAGGGGGCCCCGGAGCTGAGCCAGGGCCAGGAGTGTGCAGTCCCCATTACCAGGGCTGCTAGGACTTGGGGGCAACTTCTCATAGAGAAAACTGCATCCCTCCTGGGCGAAGTAAGTCTTGGTGGGATTGGGACTCAGTTGCTCTGGGAAAGTTTGGCTGGGGCTGTTCAGGGGTGCTTGGAATGCTGTGCTGGGAGGAGTCAGCTGCTCATGGGCAGGGCTGCTCAGAGGTTCCGGGAAGGTGGCAGTGCTGGGAAGCAGCTGGTCTGGGAAGGTAGAGGTGCAGGGAGTCAGTTGGTCTTCATAGCTTCTGGCTGAGGTTTCGGTCAACTGGCCTGGGAGTGGGCTGGTTAGTGGATCTGGGAAGGTTGCGCTGCTGGGCGTCAACTGATCAGAGAAGGTTGCAGTGCTTGGAGTCAGCTGTTCTTGGAGTGAGCTGGATGGGGCAGGCAGATGGGTCTGGAAGGGCTCATGGAGGCTGAAGAGGAAGGCACAGCCTCCTGGCTGGTGGGGTGTGTAGGGTGGGGTACACACAAGATCCTTGCTCAGTTCTGCATGGAGAGAAGGCTCAGGCCCAGAAGGGAATGGCAGGTAACTAAAATCCAGCTCTTTAGGTGGTCGGGGAAGCTCTTCTGATGCTGAGACAACACCTAGTCCAGGAGTGTTTGGGAAACCAGTGCTTCTGGGAGCCCCCAGGGGTGGGGTAAAGAGTGGGTTAGAACACTGCTCCTGGGAGAGGATGTTCTCAGGAAATGAGGGCAGCATAGTCGGGGCGCCCAAGACATAAGCTGCCTGGGTGTCTTCAGAGTTCAGCTGCTGGCGGAGGCTCCAGGCTTCCGAGTCACTGGAGAAGAGAAGAGGCAGCCATAAGGGTTTGGTGTCCATTCCCAGAGCCGTTCTCTGATTTGCATCTCTTGCATACAGACCTTGGCTGCCCCCCAGGGCCCTGTCTTTGCAGCTCACCTGATTGGGTAGTTATTGGCAGTAATAGGGCCTTCTGGACCTTCTGAGTATAACAGGCAGTAAATCCACGCCCAGCCTCCAGACTTGGCCTGTAGTCTCACGACCATCTCTGCCTGAATATCTCCACTCTCAGCCACTGGGGAGAAAGAAGAGATGCAGGGTTAGGATACCCACCAAGTGACACCACCTAAACTTCCACCTTGCTCATTTCTCCACTGAATTGAGGGAGCCCAACAACTTCTTTTCTGACTACCCTAACCTGCACCTCTCACTCCCCACCTTGACCTTGACACTCAGAGTTCCCCAGCTTGGTTCTATTCTCGCCTTGACCCTTCACCCTGAGGTTTACTCTGGTACCTCCCCAACATCAGCCCTGACCATAGTCCATTATTGGTCTGGTCTCCTATGCCCTTTCCCAGCTCCCTGTCTTGTCCCCAGCCTCTCTGGACACTCACATAGGCGGTAATGTTGAGCAGAAGCATGGGCCAGGTCCTCAGGGTGCAGCAGTCCATACCATGATTTACAGAGCAGTTCAGTGCGCTCAAAGCCCAGGTAGATTAGGACACTGGGAAAGTGGAAAGGGTGAGTTCAACTTTGTGTTTTCCTTGCTTGGAACACATGCATCTCACTCCCTCCCAGGTTCTCTGCCCACTAAATCCCATCTTCCCTGCCCCTGACTCCAGAATCTAGGGTCCCATCATCTCTGGTCTGCCTTCCTCCTGAGGTTTGAGAACTCTGGGCTTACCTCTCAGATATGTCCAGTAGGGCAAGGTCTTTAGCATGCCGGCTCTGGAACATGGCCAGGAAGAGTGAGGCAGGGCCAGGGCCAGGGCCGGGGCCAGGGCCAGGGCGGGGTCTTGGCTCCAGTGGGGCACAGAAGGCAGTGAACACAGGATTTCCTGCCCAGTAGGCCCCAGGTGGGTGAGCATGAAATCGACCTCGAATAAGCACCAGTTTGTTGCCTGCGCTCTGGCGCCGAAGAGATTTGGAGGTGTTGAAGTGGCAACGGAAGAGACGATCTAGATGGGTAAGGAAAAAAAAATATTAAGAGTGTGGGTGGCTGAGAAAGATGGTCAATGGGGTGGAACAGGGAAGCAGAGGGAGACTGGACTGAAGGAAGAAGGCAGTTCTTACCAGTGTCCAGAGCAGAGGGCAGGGTGAGTTGTTGACGCACAGTGAGGTGGTCAGCTGGGTCAATGATGTCGTAGATACTGTCACCCTGGGCAACCAAGTCCACCTGAAGGAAAGAAAGATGACCATTAGTGAAGACAGCAAGAGAAAATCTTTGGCCCATAGCATCTTCCAGTGCAGGATCCCTCCCTCTCCAATAACTCTCAGTTTCTTAGGAGTAGAAAGCTCATTGTACATAATTCACACCCCAGTCTGAGCTGAAGACACTCTCAGTACTCACCATCGAGTGTCCCAGATGCTCGCTCACACTCTCAGACAGGTACAGCAACTTCCCCTCAGCTGTAAAAACAAGCAGAAATCCAGGCAGTGCTGCTACGATGTCTTCAAGCTCTTGAGCTGAGAGAAGCCCTGTGGGGCCAGCCAGAGGAGTGCCTGTGGGATGAGAAGACATGGTGAGTCAAGATAAGATTGGCAGGCAAAGCAGAAGTGAGGAAGGCTCGGGGAGTTTCAGAGAAGCCAGAGGAATTTCTCATAGACCTTCCTCTGCAAACACCTGTTGACCCGCTGTCCGCAGCTTTTGGCCAGCGGACCTGTTGCTGGAACTCCCCAGCCAGCGAGCCCTCACACTTCTGAGCGGGCCCCGAGCCTCATCGGCCCTGGATGTCAGCACCGTGGACAGAGCTCCCAAGTGGACTTGGGTTCAGCACCGCAGACAGCGCCTCAATGCAGTCGTTGCGGTCAGCACCGCGGACAGCGCCCCAGAGCCATCAGTAGAGCCCTTCAGGGTGGCAAACTGCAGCTGCCCTTCCTCTAGGCTTGTCCCTGCAACTTCCCAGGCTTCCCTCACCGGATTCCTGGGGTGCTCTGAGCTGGTGGGGAGTACAGCCATTCTGTCCTGGCTCTTTTCCTTCCCTAAATTTGGTTCTAGTAACACCATTCAGGCTCTCTAACCCTCATCCCAAACTAAAGTGAGGTCTGGACGACAGAGCTCAGGAAGAAAAGTAGGAAGTCCCGAGTCCTCCGAGTCCCCCCGAGTCCCTTCTCTCCTGAGCTCGCCAACATGCTGCCTTGGACATGCAGCAGTCCCAGCGAGTTCCCTCAGATCCACTGTCCCCGGTGCCCGCCAGTTTGGGTCTCCGTAGCTAGCCCCAGATTGCTCACCTCCAGCGAAGAAGACACCCTTGCGAGTGTAGATGCAGGCAAGACTCATAATGTGCAGGTAGGACAGCCGGACCTTGTCCGCTTCGGCCAGCGGTAGCAGCTCCTTGAGATTCCGGATCTCGGCGTTGATCTGGTCGCGGCGCGCCTTGGAGGCGCCCTTGGTGGAGCGGTACATGACTGCCGGCTGTGGAGCTCCAGCTCCGGCGCTCCGAACACCTGCGTTCCTGTCCCGACGCACCGGCGGCTTCCTCCTCCTTGCTTCCCAGTCTCTCGCTCCGGCTCTCGCTCTCTCTCTCCTCTCCTGGGCTCCGCTCGGCTGCGCTGCCCCCCTCGCCTGCCTCGTTCCGCCTTATATAGCTCCTGCCAGGCGTGGGGGGCTCGTTTTAGAGACGGGGGGGGCGGGAAAGCGGGAGGCTGGGCTAAGCAAGCTGCAGCGGGAGCCGCTAACTGGGGAGGGGGGGCGCTCCTCCTCCCTCCCCGGCTTCCAACGTCATCCCATGACGTTGAACAAGAGCGGGAGGGGGGCCGGGAGAAGGGGGAGAAGACAGGCTGCGGAGGGGGCCGCGGCTGGCGGGAGCTGAGCAGAGCCTGGCGCTGCCTTAGAAAAGCCTGAAACGGGGGTGTGGGGACTCAGGTTTCCCAGTGTGTTGGGGGAAGGGACAGGGCACAGGACAGGGCGGTCTCAAGACCCCTGCAAGAGAGCGTGGAGGGCAAGAAGGGGCTGATACCGACAGCGAGTTTTAAGGAGATAAGGGAAGGGGGAGGAACCGGGTCATTGGCAAATCCCCCTCCTCATTTGCCAGGCAAAGGTCAAGATCATATAAGTGGGAGGGCACGGACTTTCCCTGGCCTTTGGGGGATAGGTCACACCTGGGATTCCTTCCTCGGGTCTATTCAGTCTGGGATTCCCTTGTCCATTTTCAAAGAACTAATATACTAATATTCCCTTCCCCTTCCCAAGCCTCCACCTTGGTGATTTATCAGGGGTAGTTACATGGGGGTCTAAGTCCCTAGGATGGGATGGAAAGGTGGGGGTTCTGTGGGAAAGGCGTCAGTGGAGTCCGGCCTTGGTCCTAGGAATACCAACGAGACTAGGAATACCAACGCTGTAGTCTGCAATGAATCTTCGTTTCTCTGTCGATTAATTAACCTTAGTCGCTGACGGGGGGAAACTGAGGCAGGGACCCAGGGCACAGTGCGGTCTTCACCCAGGGGCCTCCCCAACCCCCCGCCGCATTGCCGGTCCCCAAAGCGAGCGGTTACCCCGCCCTCGGGGAGCCTCGATCGCTCCCGCGGGCCGGGGGCGGGGGCGGGGCCGGGGGAATCCCAGCTCCATATTAGGACAGGAATCCTCTGCCGCAGCCGCCGCGGCGGGCGGGGCCTGGCGGCCTCTGCGCAGCTCCGCGAGCTCCCCCCCCCCCTGCTTCGGCAGGGAAGAGGGGGAGGCTGCGGGGAAGTGAGGGGGCCGCACTGGTTCCTCCGCGACTGCAGCACCTACCAGGGACCCTTAAACTCGGCCGGGCTCTCCTCCACGCCTCCCTGCAACCCTCTCCCCAGTTTCAGCTCTAAGATTCCTTGCTGTCTCTCCGTCTTCAACTCTCCGCCCCCCCACACCCTCAGTTTTAAAAATCTTATTGCATGCTAGGTAGCCTGTCCTGGGTTTATGCGCCCCCTAGCCCCCTAAGGTTCCCCTTCTGTTCCATCACGTCTGTCTTTTTTTCGTTGTCAGGTCGTGTCCACATCGTGTGGCCTTTCTTTCCCTACTATCTTCTTTCTCCATTCACCACACATGACTGCTGTCCACAGGGGAAATAGGTTGCCTCTTATCCCAGGATCCCATAAAGGGAACAGGGAGTGGTCTAGAAGATATTTTTATCTGAAAAGTTATTTGGGGGAGAAGGGGGTATACTGGAAATGAAACCACATAAAAATTGAGGGAGAGGGGTTGGCCTGATTGTAGAGAGTCACACAGGAAGGGTGAATATGAACTTTGACACCAAGAAGAAATGTTTGGGGTCAAGAAACTCCCAGTCCTCATCGAAATGGGTGGTAGCAAGATGGGCAGCATGGGAGGAAGAAGAGGCAACTGAGGATGTCATAGAAGAGGGATCTGTGCCTGTGGAGACCCGGTCCTGATGGTCTTGTGCTATTTGGGCAGAGATTGGGCCATCACACAAACCATCCTAGGGTCAGTGGCACAATTGAGGTGGGGGAATGGTGTGCATGAGTCTGTCTCCAACTCTGTGGACCTGAATGATGGAGAGGTGGTCCCTTCAGGATGTATGTCTCGGTTGCATTTTTCATCTCTAACTACCAATGTCCCCACTCACCCCTCACTCCAGCTTCTGTTCCCCTTATCTTTGGACTCCCTTTCCATATGAAAACCCAGGGCGGGCCTCCTGTTTTCTTCACCTACTGTTGTTTTAGGTCCTGGCTGGGAGACATTCGTGGCGCCCTCCGTAACAAGAGGGGTCTGTCTATTGACTGGGTCCAGCTAGTCTGCAGCAGTTGGAGGAGCAGATTCACAAGGAAAGAACGTTGCCCTGGCCGCTGTCCACGGTGCTGAAAGCATTGCCACACGAGTCAGATTAGGGCCACCTGGAACAGCGAAGCAGGGCTCGCGTCCACACAGGCTCAGGGTGAAGCCCCCTTTAGCTGACCCCTTTTTCTATGAGAATAAATGGGTGGGGGTCTCTAAGGGCCAAGATTCCTGGGCTCTGGGAGTTGAGTAAGCAAGGGAGGAGAATTGGGCTCGAGGGAAGAGTCCTTGGATTTTTCCAGGAGAATGGACTGGAGAGAAAGCGCTTTAGAAAGCAAGAAGGGTCTAGAAAGGGACACGGGAGGGGGCGGAGGAGGGCTCATCCTAGTTCGCCCACTCAGATTCAAGTTGAGAAGCTCTAGATGTCTCCGCTCCCTAGGCCAGCTCCCACTCCTCTTGCCTCCCACCTCCGTGAAACTATTTTTAACTGTGCAGAACCAAAAATAGCTTGGCAGCAGCTTCAGGCCGTGGGAGAGGAGCTATTTATATCACCAGTGACGGTTCAGAAATAGCAAGCAGGAGGAGGGGGGCGGCTGGCACGCTAGAGAGCTCCTGGCCGCTGCTAAAAATACTGTCAGTGTGAGTCATCCTGGCCTGGCTGAGTCACCCACTCTTCCCCCAATAGGCAGGCAGCAGCAGCAGCAGCAGAACAGACTAAGAACTGGGAGCCTGTGAGGGGGCATCACAGCCCATGGGCTATTGGAAAGTGGGCAGGGGAGTGAATTGGGAGAGGGGCTTCGGGTGCATATGTAGAAAGAATGGGGGAGGGGGAGCGGGAGCCTCCTAGCCAAACCTACTGGATGAGCACCAGCAACCCCAGTTATGCACTATTACTGGAGGATGCTTGGGCAATTTAAGAGAGGGAGTGTGTGTGTGTGTGTGTGTGTGTGTGAGAGAGAGAGAGAGAGAGAGAGAGAGAGAGAGAGAGAGAATGAGAATGAATGTTTGCTCACTAGATTGAGACTGTACATCCCTGTGTGTCTGCATCTGAACATGTCTGTCCAAACATGTCTGTAGGTCTGTATCTATGTGTATGCATGTGTCTTTGTAGCTGTGTGTCTATCTCTGTGCATTTGTGTATTTTCCTATGCTTTCATTGATGTGCATCTTTTCAAAAACTCTCCACCTTCCTATATTGCTTGTAGTTCTATGTTTGTGCCTGTGTATATTTATTTTTACAGTTTCCTGTGTGTCTCTGTGTGTGTTTGTGTCCCTCTCTGAGTCTGCTCTGTCCCCTCTCTCAGCATCTGAGGGTGTGTGTGGACTTGCATGCATCCCCAGGCTCAGTATACCTTGGTTGCTCTCTCTGATGTCCCTTGTTGGTCTCTTGTACCATTTATCCTTTGCTGTCTTCTCCCCACCCAGCATCTTCCCTTCTTTCCAGTCCTTAGCCCCCAACCATGTGCAAAGGTCTCTTTGTCACAGGCAGTTTCTAGTAAAAACATGGAGGAAGGCAGCCCCACGTGAACACTCCCCTTTCTCTGGAACCATCCTGATCCTTCCTGGCCTGCAAGAGTAAGTGGTTTTCCATCACTCCATATTTGGGGAGCTGAGAGAAGAGAAGGGCTTTCTTTAGTTCTTAAAAAAAATTCCTGGTGTGGGCACAGTCATGTGTAGCACGCACATACACACACAGAGACACACACACACAGACACACAACTGAGAGAATGAGAGAAAAAAATATCAAGGTCCCTTCCTTACTGAGCAGAGCTCGCATCTGTTGCCATGGCAACCCGCCCACTCCTTCCCTGAAAAATCACCAAGAAGAGGTGATGGCATCGAGGAGGGATTGGCTGATTCCTTTCTTTATTATTTTTTCCGAAAAAGGCCTTTTTATAGCAAGAACAGGCCACAGGATTCCTTGCTTCTGTCTTGCATAGCTTTATTGGGAACCTAGGGGGACATCACACCTCAACCTCCATTACAGAAGAGGTGTACCATTTCCAGAGATTTCCAGGAGAATGACTCCTGGGAAGGAGTCGGAAGGTGGATGGGAAATCTGGTTCTTCGGGAGAGCATGGGGACTCCTGGGCAGTTTTCTGAAGATTTGGGGCAAAGATCTTGACAGAGGGCTGTCTGCATATATCTTGTCTTTCTCTGGATAAATATGTCCATGAGAAAGAAAAGAAAGGATGAAGGGAAGACAAGGAGGGGGAGAAGAGGAACAGAAAGTGAGAAGGGACATGAATGAATCACTGGATGGGCTTCAGGGAGGATGAAAAGATGAGCAAGGAGGCCAGCACCAGGACAGACAGGTGGACAAGCTCAAGATCCGCCAGGCCACTGGCGGTGCCCTTCCCTAGATTACAGCTGTGGCTGTTTAATTTGAGCCCCAGGGAAACTGGGGCCATAGAGGAATGTTCTAGGGGAGCACAGAAGCTCATCTCTCCTGACTCCAGTCCCAGCCTGAATCTCAGAGGCCTTCTCCAAGCCCTGGCTACCAGCCACTGCAGCCACATCGCTCCTTCAAGTGAACCGTCGCCTCCTGCCAAATGGCTGGGAGATGGAGAGAAGGGATTCCTCATTTCTTCCTGTGCTAGACTTGCTGCAGAAATGGGGTCACTCGGGGCTGGGAGTTGGGAAGGAAGACTAGGAATCTAGTCTTCCTTCGAGTCACCTCCCGCTCTGGCAGGCTGCTACCACCCTCAGCAGGCAAGGGCATGGCCAGGTGGGGGTGGAGTGGGCAATGGGTGCGACTCTACTCAAAGTGATGGAGGAGAGGAAAGAAAACTCTTATTAGAGTGTCACTGATCTGTTAGACAGCCTCTCATGA